GGAAGATTAAATTAATTCATGGTTTATCCAATTTTTTATAAAATGTTTAATTTATTTACAAATACATCAATTTATAGAATAGTATTTAATTATGAAATATAATTATTAAAAAGTTAACATTCATATTAAATGTATATATTTTACTTTATTCTTTATACATTATTTCTAAATTAATTATTTGCATTCAAAAAGTTCTAATCAATACTTGATAATTTCTAAATTACATTACTTTTTGTACAAGGATATCTCTTAATGATCAAAAAAATCAATTCAAAACAAGTCCTCTATTCTATTTTTATTAATTATATCATTCGTGATATAATAATGGAATATTCATTTCATTATTATTTTCTAATTATAAATTCATATTTTAGTTAGCAGACATGAAAACTATGTAAAAGTCAATCAACTAACTTGTAAAAAAAACTGATTAGAATTCAACATTTGATAATTGATGATGTAATTTATTAAAAAACTCTGATTTGATCCAAATTCTTATCTATAATAAAGTATTTTCTGAGGATTAATTAGATTTTAAAGGTTGTAAAATACTTTTAATTTAATATTATTTAAAAAATAGGATACTAAGATATTTTAAAAATTTATAAGTGTTATCAATATACTTTTCTGTAAATTTAATATTTTAAATCATCATAATTAGATTTTAAAAGCTATCATCATTCATTTTTAAAGGAATAGAAAATTACATTAATCTATTAATGTAAATTATTTATTATTAAAAATCATAAGTAATTGCAATTTTCATTTTGAACAGTTAAACCTTTTCTAAATTAATAAAAATACAAATAATTAAAATAAAAAATATGAATTCTTAAAATTAAAGTTACTTAGAATCAAAAAAATGGAAGCAATACTTAAAAGAATATGAAGTTGATAAGTTAGATAAAACATAATAAAAACTTATAAAGACTAAAATACAGATCATAATTACATAAGATAATTAAATTATCTATTTATAAGACGGTGCAGTATTAAGAAAGTAAATGAATTTTTTTTATTAACTCAAAGTGAAATACTTTACGATATTTCTGAAAATCTGGAGATTTTGAAAAATTTAGAATTAATCAAAAATCTTAAATGGTTAGGTGAATATGGAAATAACAAAAGAAAAATTGGTAAATGGTAGGCTTTTTGGCAAGGATAACTTTTAAATTAAGTTGGTGGGTACTATGAGGATGGTTAAAAATCGGGTTTCTGGAAAGAACTAATTGATAATTATTGGATGTATATTTAATCTTATCTTATAAACTAGTTAAGCTCAAGTCTATAGCATTGGATAGTATATTAATGGTAAAAAAATAGGAGCATGGAAATATGTTTATCATAATAAAAATATGTATTTATAAAAATAAAATAAAATAGTGGTGGAGGATCATACAATGAGGAAATTTTAAAGAATGGCAAATGGATTGAGTTGAGGGATGGATTTTGTAGTTTATCATAAATAGTTTATAATGGAGATTATAAACATGGTAAAAAGGTTGGTAGATGGTAAACTTTGTATAGGGATTATAGAAAAGATAAATTTGAATTAATGTAAATTGTAATTACTAGAGTATTAGTGGTGGTGGATTATATGATGAAAGGGTTGAAGATTTAATAAAGATTGGCAGGTGGATAGAGTTGAGTGATGGGTATAATTTTTGGTCTGAAATCACTTATAATGGTGATTATTAGAATGCAAAAAAAGTTGGTAGATGGGATACTTTCTACAAATTTGGTGATAAAGGATTTACATAAATGTTGATATTATTATATATTAACAGTAAATTTGCAGTGGCGGTGGATTATATAATGATTAAGTAGAAGGAAGTTCGATTAAAATTGGTAAGTGGATTGAGCTGAGTTGTGCATTTAAATTTGATTCACAAGTCATCTATAAAGGTGAGTATAAAAATGGAAATAAAATTGGTAGATGGGATATTTTATTTAGAGGATAAAATAATGAAGAATTTAAATAGATGTAAAATATATATGTTTAATATTATGTATAAATTTGCAGTGGTGGAGGATCATATCATGATCAAGTTGAAGGATGTTCAATTAAGATTGGGAAATGGATTGAGTTGAATGATGAATTTATTTGGAACTGGTAAATTAATTTTAATGGCGAATATTAAAATAATAAAAAAGTTGGTAGATGGGATATTTGGTATAAGGATTATGAGACAAAAATGTATGAATAAATGTATGGAGTAAAAAATTAATTTATAGTGGAGGCGGATCATATGATGATGATGAAGATTCAAGCAAGATTGGAGAATGGATTGAATTAAGTGATGAATCCAATTGGTATTGGTAAATTACCTTTAGAGGAGAATATAAAAATAATAAAAAAGTTGGTAGATGGGATACTTGTTTTAAAGATTATGAGACAAAAAAGAATGAAAAGATGTATGTAGTATAAAATTAATTTCTAGTGGAGGTGGATCATATAATGATGAAGGAATACAGATAGGGTAATGGATTGAATTGAGCGATAGGTCAAATGCAAAGTTTTTGATCACCTTTAATGGTGAATATATTGATGGTAAAAAGGCTGGAAGATGGGATATTTATTGGAAAAAGAATAGTGAAGATAAATAAAATGAACAGATGTATCAATAATAATTTTTAAGTATAAGTGGTGGTGGAATATATTATGAAAAAATGGAAGGATACTCAATTAAGATTGGAATATGGACTGAATTGAGTGATGAATCTAATTATAATTGTTAACTCACATCTAATGGCAAATATGAAAATGGGAAAAAAGTTGGAATATGGAGGGAAATGTATAGAAAATGGAATGATAAGGAATTTTAAAAACTCAAGGAGATAAATTTTGATAAATGAGTTATAATTACTTTTGAATTTATGTAAAAAATTTCATCATAGGAAACTATTTTAGTATTATTTAATATTTTTTTTAACTATTTTGTGTTTATATGTAAAGAATTTTGATTATACTTTCAACTTGAAAAGAAATAATTTTATTAATATTTTAAATTAGAGCATTGACCAAAGTTTATCTTTTATTAAATTGGCTGAGTAAATTTTTACTACAAGTTTTAGTAAATCCGTAGAATTATCGCTTTAAATCATATTTTTTAACTTTTGCTGTTGTATCATCCACTTTACCTTACAAATTTTTCTTAATATCAATTATGATATTAATATTCTAAAATAAAGTAATTATTAGCGTAATCTTTTAGTCATAAGACTAAGAAATGGGATACTTTTTGTAATTGTTTTTTAATATTTTTTTAGAAGTAACACAAATTAGATTAATTTGTTATAAAATGATTCCCTTAGACTCGTAATTATCGAAAATAGGAACCAAAGATTTAGAAGTTAAAAAATGGGATTTATTCAATGTTAAATTAGTTTAGACAACTATTCTAATCATATTTATTGAAGATAATTATATCAAATATGTATAAGATGGAGTCATTTTGAGAATGAAATTAAGAACTTTTGGATGTAAGCAATATATTAATAAAAATAAGTCTAGCTCAAGTTTATGAGAGTGAGGAATACTTTAACGATTATAAAAAGGGAACATGGAAATTTATTTATAAGAATAAAATCATGTATTATTAAATTTAATTGTAAGTGGTGGTGGAACATACAGCGATTCAGGTTAAAGAAATGGTAAGTTGATTGAGTTGAGCCAAGGATTTTACAAATATTCATAAGTAACATATAAGTGTGAAGATAAGAACGTAAAAAAGTTGGAAATTGGGATATTTTTTGGCAAAAGGATTTTGGAGATAAGCTCTATCAAAAAATGTAAATATTAAACAAATTAATTTTAGAGGAGGTGGCTCATATGATGATTAGGTGGATGGAGATTGAATTTAGATAGGAATATGAGTTGTGCGATGATTTTCACTTTTATTTGTTTGGCTCAAAACAAGTAATCTACAATGGTGAATATAAAATGGTAAAAAAATTGGAATATGGATTGAAATAGATAGAAATAATTAAGTAAAAGAAATTTAATATGATAATTGATAATGATAATAAAAAGCATAATTTAAGCTTAAGTTTACAAAATATAATCTAATATATCATTTCCTGATTTTCATTTTGCTTGTAAGGATCAATTAATTTCTAATTTGGCCTTAGATTTAATCTTAAGATAATTCCACATCATCATTTAAATTCTATCCAAAAAGTTCTTAATGTTATTTCTCTTAATTTTATGCTTAATCACTCATATTAATCACAATAGTAGGTTTTTAGATAAAATAGGATTACTCAAGAAATATGTTGCCTTAAATTTTTTTGAAGATCCACTAGAATTGAACCTGAAATAGTGATTTATCTCAAATAAGTGCTCCTTTATTCTTAAGATAATAGTTACATACATTAATATTGAATTGATTGATAGTCCTGCTTCTGCCTTTTATTTTAAACCTATTAATGGATAACGAAAGATTTATTGTATATTTCACATCAAATCGGTTAATTTACTATATAATTAGTGAGCATAATTCTTAAGAGTTATACCTTCTCTGAAATCTAAAGTGAATTTTTTGTTTTCTAATAAAATAAAATTAATCTAGAAACCTTTCCAAAAATGCAGGGAATCGAAAATAATTTTCTCCCAAAAAGTTTAATCTATGAAGATATCAATAAGACACCTATTAAATAAGAAAATTGGTGTTTTTCAATAGCAATTAACAACGAAAATTCTTTAATGCTAGTTGGTTGCGGTAATTGGATAAAAGTTTATTAGGTAAAATAAGAAAAAGTAAGACTTATTCATTACTATTTAACTCCAAATAGAGTTATTTTTGTTATCTTTTTCAAATTTAATTTCTTATTTGCATCTAGTTCTGAAGATAACTCCATCATTATATGGTCACCATATTTAAATCAAAAATCAAAATTTCTGATGAAACTAAGAGGGCATTCTAAAAATATTTAATGTTTGGTTCTTCATCCAATTGATGATTAGATGTTAATTACTGGTTCATATGATTCAAAAATAAAATTCTGGTCATGTTATAATAAATCCAATATATTAAGTGGAAATTGTTTATAAACAATATCTGAGCATACCAGTCATGTTTATGGATTATCAATAAATTAAAATGGAAATAAATTGATTTCCTGTGGTCTAGATAATTTAATTTTGGTGATGGAACGCATAAATTAAGATTCTCATTGGTCAGTTAAATAAAGAATAAAAGTAATACGATATGGATTTCGAATTGCTTTTGTCAGTGATTTAGTATTAGTCTTTCTTCCTCAATCTTCATCACATTTGAAAATATATACATTAAATCCTATTGATAATGAATATAGTAACTCTGAAGATGTAGTAATTGATGGTGGGAATTCATTCTGTAATCATTACTTCCCGATATAATATTGTTAATAAAAAAAGTTAATGTTAATAAAAAATGGAAATTGTTTGAATTTTGTGAGAGTAATTTTGCCTTTTAAAGATAATAATAATACTTAAAAAGTAGAGATAATTTCAATTAGCAGATATATTTTTAAAATGAGAAAAGCCTAGATTTTCGTTATTATTAAATTTATGGTACATTAAGTAATGATGGAAATTATCTAATATTTTGGCTAAAATCAACGAATGAAATTTAAATATTAAAGCATATTAAGAATTTTGAGTGATATTTTAATTATTAAAAAAATAGTTTATGTTTATAATATTAAAATAATTTTAATAAATAAATTTTGAATTTTCCAATTATCATAGATTCTCAAATGATATCACGGATAATTTAATTTCTTTACATTAATAACCAAAATAAAACTATTAAGAATTTTTAATCCCAATTGGTTTAATGAGTAAAAAATTATAATATTAGTCAATTAATTGCACTATTATTAAGAATACTTCAAGTTTTGATAAAACTTAATTTTTTTTATTTCATAGAATAAGAATTTTTATATGATTCCAAATATTAATCATTCATAATTTAAGTTGATGAATTATTAATTTGAATATTGTTATTGCATAAATATATTCTATAAGTTTCAATCAAATATCTTGATTTTGATTAAATAAATATAATAAAAGTAGAAATTAAATAAAATAATTTAAGATGAAATTGTTATTAGAG